GTAGTGTTTATTAAAATACATTTCATTTAATAAATTGAGCTATCAGCTATTAAAGTATATATACAGCCCGGCAGGGCGTGGCTCAGCGGTTGAGCGTCGACCTAGGATCCGGGCGATCAGGGTTCGATTCCCAGTCAGGGCACATGCCCGGGTTGCGGGCTGCAGCCGATCAATGACTCTCATCATTGATGTTTCTCTCTCTCTCTCTCCCTCTCCCTTCCTCTCTCTGAAATCAATAAAGATATATTTAAAAAAAAAAGTATATATACATTTTGGAGAAATATATATACATACACACACATATATGTGTATATAAATAAATAAACAAGTTAAAGCAAGCCCAAGCACAGTGGGATGGCATTACCTGGAAAGTGCTTTGCCTTACCCGCTCCCTCCCGAGTTAATCACCTGGTGTCTGGCCGGCTCGGCGCGGGCACCATGAATTCAGCTCTCGCTGACCGTGCAGGACCCCCGATCCACAGCTGGGAAAGAGGGGGCACCCCGGTCACTTCCAGCTCTGCTCCTCTGTGAGACTGGTTCTTTATCACCGCCTTGAGCGCCTGTGGGTCGTTTTTACGGCTGTCGGTCATGTGCCAACCTCCACGCGGTCGGATGGCCTCACCCTGCATCCGTGCTGGCCGCCTGGGTGACAAATACCGGCACTCCCCCTCCTCCCGCTCTTCCTCCCTCCACCTCCCTCCCACCCAAACCGAGGCAATGTCAGAAATGGCATTTTCAAAGAACAGATGGATAACTCGTTTAGCAAACAAGGGACGGCATCAACAGCGACGAGGCACACCGAGCGCTTCCTGAAAGTGAGGAAGCCGGCAGCTGCGGGGCCTCGGCGGCCGCAGCCCAGTGCGGGCAAGGCCAGGCGCCCGGAGGGCGGGGCGCCATCGGCTGTGCCTTGGCTCGGCTCTTTTCCACGTGGCTGTCGCCAGTTTTGTTGCCACTACAGGTCCCTAGCATGAATCAGAAGCGACGATGACTCTCAGGACCATCGGTCCCGCGTGGGCAGGGAGGGTTCAGAGCGGCTACAGTCTCCGACTGCGCAGCCTCGAGCGGGCCTGCGGAGCAGCTGCTGTCAGCCTCGTGCGCGCAGCTGGCCCAGGGCCGGGCCTGCGGCCGACGGCTGCGGCAGGGGGAGTTCTGAGCCACAGGTGTCACGTGTCTCCTCTCAAGTGGTCTCTTGCCTGTTCCTCCGCTGGGAACCTCTCAGGGCAAGTGGGGCGTGAGGGGATTCCAGGCTGCCCGGCCTCTGGCCCAGCCCTCTGATGCCATCTCCTGCCCAGGTCCAGCTGGAAGCCCTAGGCTTATCAGTACCCAAGCAGCTGCACCCAGTGAAGGTGACACGCTGGGCAAAAGATAGACTGTGACACCGAGCAAGCTGTGCCCTGTGTCTGCCCCCCTCATGGCTTTGTATCATTCCTGGCAGAGGAGGAAGCCTAACAGATCAGGAGGCTGCCGCGGATGCTGAGGGTGAGCTCCGGCCAGGGGCGGCCAGAGCCTCCTCTCTCATTTCCCTCCTCTCGCCCAACATACATGTCTCCCTAGAGGGTCCTTCCTTTCTCAGGAACCTGCAATGTCCCCCATTCCTGAGCGTTAAGGTGCCCTGGCTGGTGTTCAGGGCCCTGAAGATACTGCCTGGTACACCTACCACCTCCTAATTCTTGCTGGGTCCCATTCCCATGCTGTTCTCTTCTTAAAACCAGGCCCAGTGCCCTCTCCTGCCTGGGCTCTTGGCAACCCGGACACGCCTGTCTCGGCCCGCAGCTGAGTGCGGATTCTGTCCGCCCACAGGCTGCGGGCCGCTGGGGTGACTCTGGCTCCCACAGGGACCTGGTCTCAGTGTTCACTTATCAACGGCATTGGGAGTTTAACAACCCCTCCTCCTTGAAACCCTTTAACTCACCTTCCAGGGAGCCTGCTTCTCTGGGTGTTCTCCTGTTGAGGACTCTTCCAGGGACAGGAGGTGGGTGGCAGGCGCAGACAACGAATGGCAGCAGACACCTTCATTTCGCGGGGTGAATGAACAGAAGAGCCAGCGGCCCTCCCGAAGCAGGGTGCGCTTGACATGCGGGAGTCGGCCACCCTTCCCGAAGGGCCTGCCTTCAGGCCCTGGCCTTCAGAGACCCCTCCGTGCTTTCCCCCTGTCCCCAGGGGGTCGCCCACCGGCAGCGGGACCACAGATGACGCCTCCGAGGGCCATCCCGAGGCCCAGGACTGTGCGCACTGAGACCTGAGCGGGCAGAGCGCTCAGTGAAGCCACCCGGCTCAGCTCAGTCGCGATTTCTGTTGGATTCTTGCATCAGTCCTTGGTGCTCTGTGTGCCGCGGGGCACAATAAGTGATCCTTCAGAGCAGAACCGTGACAGATAATAAAGAACAGACTTAAGTGCTTTGTGCAAATCACAAAGCTTGTCTGTGTTATTATCTATGTTGGTGGGTTTATAACTTTACATGTATAACCTGCTGCTGTTTCTTGTCTGGATTACGCCTGTTTCTAGACTCCCGTTGTTAAGAGAAAGATAGCCCGAGGGCACCCGCGCTGGAAATCAGGGAGTCAGAGGTAGCGAGTTGAATAAAAACAAGTGAGAATTAGCTGATGGAAAAGAATGGAGCACAAAGATGGTGATGATTTCTAATAGCTTTTGGGAGTTAACTATGTGTCAGCTACATATAAAGGTTTTTAGTATTGATATTATTTCTCTAGTTCCCATAATAACCTCTGGGAAAGATACTACAGTCCTCTCAGGAGAAAACTGGGACAGAGAAAGGTTAAACAATCCATCACAATCACACCAATGGTCAGTGGCTGGACCAGGATTTGAACACGGGTCTGACTCTAAAGCTCATGCCTTTACTGACTGTAATGTACTGCCCATGGCTAGAATTAGGATGGAGAATGTAAGTAGAAAAGAGAAATGAATGTCAAAAGAAAATAGACAGACTAAAATAATGGTACTTTAGGAATGTGAGAAGCATGGAGGAAGAGAGAATTTGAAAAGCTTGACTTGAAAGAGATAATATTAAAAACAGAAGGAGACAGGAAGGAAAATTAAAAGAAAACGAATAATAATTTCAACCTTTTAAAAATATATATATATTTGGAAGATTGTTGTTCTCACATTTTCCCACAAAATTTCTATTTAAGCTAAATTTCCCTTTGTAGCTTTGAGAGTTCTGTTTGCAGAAACAATTTATGTGGTGCCACTTTCCCTAGTGCAGGGACTTGTGAAGAGGGAGCTGAGCCTTGTCAGACGGATAACACAGATTCTACAATGCAGTGTTCTGGGGAGGCGGGGAAAGGCACCTTAGAGAACAGGAGGGTTTTCCCCGTGGAGAGACAGTGAAACCATGGCCCACGTAAAGGCAAAAGGTAACTTGGAAGTTAATTGCCAGCTAGGCCCCCGAGATATATTTCTGCTTTAGCTGCCTAGGTTTCCTCACAGTCCGGAGATGCTATAAGAGATGAGCAGGGATGCATGTAAGCACTGCTGGACCACACCCTGTTCTCGGCTTGGGATGACATTTCCATCAGTTGAAGGTAAAACAGGAAAATAAAACCAATGCAGTATCTCAGATAAAAATAAATGTATGCAATTTAACAAACAAAAGGATTTTGAGGTTATTTCTAATTTTGGGGCATTGAAGTGTCATCTTCAACAAACAAAAATATGGAAAGTTCTGTCTCAAAAATAAAATAAAGGAACAGAATAAAATAAAGGAAGGTACAGGATATTAGCCATATGAAACTATGCATACTGAGTTTTAAAACCTACAAAACAGTACATACATGTATATGGTCACATACATATGTGGTAAAATTCTAACATCATGCATGGGAATGGATAACACCGAAATCCAAGGTAGTGAATGGCTCGGGTATTGAGAGGGAGAGGACCTGGATTGGAGGTGGTATATAGGGAGTTTTATTTTTATTTTATTTCTTAAACTGGGCAGTAAGTAATGGATGTTCAATACATCATTGTTTAAACTTTACAGAAAGTTTCCAATGTTCTGAAAAATTATAAGAAGGGAGGAAGGAAGGAAAGAAAGATGAAAGGGGAAGGGGAAGGGAGAGAGAGAGACAGAGAGAGAGAGAGAGAAGGGAAAACATGTAAGGAAGGGAAGAGGTAGGGAATGATTACTAATTTTTGGAATCTCAAGTGTGGAAAGCACAGAGTTGGAAAAGTGATGTAAAAACACAGTAATATATGATCTATTTGGGCAGGAAGAGAGGTAAAGTCTCAAGGTTATGCCATATGGCAACACTTCCTTGGGGAAGTCAGAAGGAAAGAGCCTCAGGGTGGGATTTACATCTGTGTGCAGTTATGAACTCCCCTGAGCGTGCACTAGCTCTGTCCCCAAGTCTGAGTTATCTTCACGAGAAGAGAGGTTCACTTTGGCTTGCCTGGAGCGATGGATCGTCGTGAAACCACGTCTTAATCTAAGGTAGTGAGTGAGCAAACACTTCCCAGCTTTACAAGTCTTTTAGGGCTCACAAAAATGATCCAGGCAACTAAGATGAACATCAATGTGGAAAATAATGTATGTTTTCCCTTCAAATGTAAAATACATGGTATGAATCTTATAGCAGGTAAAATGAAAAGAAGTTCATGCAGAGTCACAAGCAACATGGCACCCCTCAGCCCTCGCCCAGCCCCCCTTCACTCGATCCCTGTGCTCACGACCCTCTCCATGCTGACACCCCAAGTTCTTCCCCGCTGTTATCTCCTTGTAGCTCGGAACTTATAAAAAATGTCTTCTATAGAACGGGGAAATCAGAGACTAAGAACCTAAGTTTTCTGTAGAAAGTCGAATTTAAGCGGGTTGGAGATAACAGTAGCAATAATCATCCTCTATGGCAGGAGAGCATTATGATTTCTACCCAACAGATAAGGACCCTGGAGTTCAAAGTAGATAAGTCAAGCGCTCAGTCATGTGAAGGGCCCGCGGGGAATGTGAGATTTAACCCCAGCTCTGTGATTTCTAAACCAGGCCCACTTCAGCGTGCTGCTCTCGGGCCAGCGGGACAGCCCGCGTCCCGGCTGGATTCTCGGGCCTCGCCTCTGGGCCGCCCGCACGGCGCCAGGACTTGCCGCCTGTGCTGCCAGAGTGGAGCCGGGGAGCTTCAGCACCTTACGGTGAGAGCACTGCCCTCGCTTCTGTCCTTACGGACACGTTAGAGTCAACAGTTAGCGTGTCAGTGCTTACTTTTGAAAGTAGCATCGTCAGCCTTGGCATTCTTCTTTTTAAATTTTATTTTTTAAATCCTCACCCGGGGAATATTTTTCCATTACTTTTCAGAGAGAGTGTAAGGGGGTGGAAGAGAGAAAGAGAGAGAGAGAGAGAGAGAGAGAGAGAGAGACATCGACGTGAGAGAGACACATCGACTGGTTGCCTCCTGCATGTGCCCCGACCAGGGCTGGGGATCGAGCCTGCAACCAAGGCATGTGCCCTTGGCCAGAATCGAACCCGGGACCCTTCAGTCAGCAGGCTGATGCTCTAACCACTGAGTCACACCAGCTAGGGTAGCCTTTGCATTCTTCGTCCATGATTTTTCCCACCACTGGAGCAGTCCTTGGCCATGCACAGACCTTTGAAGCCCAAAGGGCCACTCAAAATGAATACGTTTGTTTATCCTATTGCCATATTTTAAGTGCCTCTGAACCTCCTGCCCACTCAAGAGGAAGCTCACAATCTTTCATTGCAGCCCCTCCAGACGAAACGTGCTCCCAGCTCTTTCTGATCATCAGGCGGTGCCTCATGGGCGCCCGAACATCAGCCTGTCGGCCTTACTGTGTTTGCCTCTGTCATCCCTCCGCTTCGGTTCATGCCGCTGACGGGGATGCTTGCAAAGCTGCTTGAAGGAGCATCACTATGGCTTCCAGGGCTTTCTTTTCCACTCTAGGTAATGCTGACTTCAGAAACTGTTACCTCCTAATGCTAATGAAACTAGTCATCCTCGGGGGGCACAACAGTGCTAGATTTCAGGTTGGGATAATACTCTAAAATTCTACCCTACATTTTTGCACTCACTGGAGTCCTGTGTTGGCATTGTTTGTGCCATAGTTCACAAAAGTATATTTTCCCCACTATCAATNAAAATTCTACCCTACATTTTTGCACTCACTGGAGTCCTGTGTCGGCATTGTTTGTGCCATAGTTCACAAAAGTATATTTTCCCCACTATCAATATCTGAGGTCTAGCTCAGCCAGAACAAATTCCTTATCGCATGTTATTAACCCAATCATAGAACTTAGAAGTTAAGGGGATGGGGATGGCAAAGATCTGCCATATTAATTTTATGTATGGGGCCAAATTCCTATTCATATCAGTGGTTTTCAAATTTGACATGTATCCGAATCACCCGGAGAGCTTGTTAACGCACAATGTTTCTTGCGGCATGCATCCATTGGCAGCAAATTTCCTTAGTGTATTTTATCTGAATAAGCTTTACTTTACCTTCAATCCTGAAGGATATTTTTGCTGGATACAGAACTGTGTTAGTTGTTTTTCTTAAGCATTTTAAAGATGTTGTTCCTATATTTATTGAATTCTGTTATTTTCAATGTCAGCTGCCATTTAAGTCATTTCTCACTTTTTATGTATTATGTCAGTTTTCTTTTTCTACTTTGAAGATACTATCTTTATTTTTAGTTTTTGGCAGTTTGACTTTAATCTAATTAGGAGTATTGTTTATTCATTCTGATCATTTCAACTCAACTGCAACCTTGCTCCTTGGGAAGCAGCTCAAATCTTGACTCAGTTCTTTATCCTTTGCTAGGAAGCTTGAAATCTGCTTTGCACAAACATGGTCTTGGGGGAGTCAAAGATTTGGCTAAAGATTGGGGATCCCCACCCTTCTATATCACTCACTTCTCGAATTTTTCTCTCACTTTCCGGTGACTTTACATGGGCTATCTTTTCTGGCCGTTCAAGTCAGAAAGATGAAAGATTTGCTATGGGAACTTTAGAAGCCCTGCATAGCACAGATGAGGATATTCCTGTTAAGAAACTATGAAGACAAGAAACACACCCTTTTCCTGCCTCTGGAGACAACCTGTGTTCCTTGATCCTGACTCTTTCCTNTAGAAACTATGAAGACAAGAAACACACCCTTTTCCAGAATCTGTCTACCTTAGTTTCTTTTCCAAGCCTTTGGGTAGTTCTCCCATCCCAGATTTTATAGTTGTAATCTGTGGGAGGATTAGCCTAACAGAAGCTTACCTGGCCTTACTGGAAGCAGAGCCTACTCTAGTAATTTGAAAGACATACATCTTATTTCTCTTTTTAGTTGTAACTCTAAAAATGTTAATAGATACCTATCATTTTCATTTAGCCATTATATCTAAAGCTTAACAGAACAAAAACAAATAAACATCAAGTAAGAACCTTAGCAGGATTTATTTCTGTCCTCCTCCTGCTCCATCATCTATGTTGAGATCATGTAGGATTCTACTTTCCGGGTATTAGCTCTTCTAAATTTGGGCTCCTTTCGTTTCTTTGCTTGCTCTTCTTTCTTATGACCTTTGTCTTTTCTGAATTTCTTTCCTTCTTCTTTTGGAGCACATACTTATACTAATAATTCTTCCAGAATATGAGATGGTAACCTTTTAAATTTAGGTTTTTAAAAAATAAAATTACATATCTATTATCTATCTATCACCTACACATTAACGGCGCATTGTATGACAAAGTAAAGAAGAGCAATCTTCTACATCCCTACTCCTCTCTCAAGTTCTACTTTTTAGGTCTATTAGCTGTTTTTGATATTTTCATTTTAGACATTATTCACTGGATTATTAGTTAGGGAGATAAGTGTTTATTTGTCTTACACACGCGCACACACAAACACATCTTTTCACGTCTCTTCCTCTTAAAAGATCCCATTTTGATTAATTTCCCAGGATTTTATAGTACTGGGCATATTAGTTTCCTATAACAGATTACCACAAACTGGTGGCTTTAATTAACACAAGTCTATTACCTTACATTCTGTAGGTGAGAAGCAAAAATCAGTCTCATAGGGTCAAGTCAAGGTGTCAGCAGGCTGGTTCCTTCTTGAGGCTCCAGAGGAGAATGTGTTTCCTTGTGTTTTCCTGCCTCTGGAGACAACCTGTGTTCCTTGATCCTGACTCTTTCCTCTGTCTCCAAACCAGCAATGTAAAGTCTTCAAGGTTTTCTCTGACCTTTTGACCTTTGTTTTAGTTGAACATTCGTCTTTCACGCTAACCTTCCTGCCTCTGTAAGGATCCTTGTGATTACACGGGGCTCACTTGGATAATCTCCCATCTTAAGACCTTAATTTAATCACCTCTACAAGTCCACTTGCCGAGTGGACCCCTGGGGGAGGGGGGCAGGCATCATTTTGCCTACCACGTTAGAATAGGAAATATTTCTCATAGGTGAGACAGACGGTATATTGTGATTAACTTTTCTTTCTTTATACAGTTTTTATTGATGTTGAAAATTATTTGTTGTGTGTTTAATTATCTATGTACTTACACAAATTCCTTTCTATATTCTATGTTAGAATAATACAACTCTTCTTAATATGTCAAGTACACTGTATATCAATAGCTATGCCTTCTAAATGTTGCTCAATTGTGTGATAAGCAACTTTTAGGATAAGGATAATTCATCTGTTTCCTTCACAGTGTGTGAGCATAGTGCTCTATGTATTTGTTGAGTTTTATTTTTAATTTTTGAAAGTACCCATTGTGCTGACGTTGGTCATGATTCAGGGAACCAAGACTTTTGCCAGTGCCAGGTGTGCGGCTAATAATTCATGTTTCTATACTCTGTTCATCTTAATGGCTATCATTAGGAAGGGAGGAAAGTAAGCATGGTCTGCAATTTACTTAATTTCACAATTACATCATCTCCTGAATGTTATTTGTACCCTGTAGGCTTGGGGCCAGGTAGACTCTCCAGCTTCCCCTGGATACACGCTCCAGGAAAACAAGCACATGTCCTTGTGTGACTGGTGGTCACTTCCCTGAAGTGTAGCAAGGAGTTACTAATAACCTTTGCATGCCTCTTCCTTCTGCAGTATTTGGGAACTTTTTGGCATTCCTGAAAACATGGTGTAGTTTTACTCTTTCAGCATATTCAGAATAACCTTCTACAAAAGAGCCTGAACTCTAATCTATATTTCCAGGAGCATAACAGTTTCTCTTTTTTACCTCTGCTGTTGGAATCTTCAAAATCCACTTCTTAATTCCTTTTGTCACTGTCTTTTTACAGGTGAATTTCTTATATCTAATGTGGCAATTTTTCTTCCTCTCTGATAAGCCAGGTTTACATCCCTAATTTAGAGGTTTCTAACTACTTGAAGGTAGGGAACCCATTTATCTTCTCTGACCACGGTTTCCGCGTTAGAAAATGGAAGAGTTAAAACTGCTCCCATCTCATAGGACTTGTGGCGATGAGATGAGATAGTGAACGCGCATTGCTCGCCTGGCATACAGGAAGCAGTAGGCACGGGGGCTGTTGCCAGTCACCCTGCCCTCCTCCTCTGCACTAGAGAGGTGCCAGTTGCTCCCCTCCGACATTATGCAAAACCTCCAGCTTCAGCTTGCAGGAGATGGTCGGGTGATGACCTGCAGCAGGAAAGTAACCGCAGTGCCCTGTCCTGCAGGCCTTTGCTACAGATCCGTCTCTATCTCTTTGATCTGTAGCTCGAGGTCCTGCGTGAGCAGCGCCTGTGCCTGTTTGTGGTGCTCCCGGGAAGCGAGCCTCTAAAATCTGCTGATTCCCTTCTTTCTCTGGAAGTGATAACCCGCCAACCTCTGAGGGCTAGCAATTTGCAAGGTATTGATTTACCCGGCTCTTGTACTCCCTCCTAGAACACACACGCTAAAACCTGTTTCTTCATCTATACAATTGGATTTATCTTATTTTCTATGTTCTGACAATAGTCCAATTTTGATCTTTGCCCCAGAAGTTTAGTGCTGCGTTTTCCTTTGAAATTAGTTCTTTCAGCACTGATGTCAGCTAATGCCCCAAACTCATCTCTACTGACATCAGTAACACCCCCTCCCAGCTCCACCGGCATCGGTTAATGCCCGATCCCATCTTCACCAGTTCAGCTAAGGCTGCAGATCCCTCTCTGTTTGGATTGGGTGAAGATGGGTTTGG